ATTATTCATCGCACACATTCATGTTTATTTATTTATTTATTCATTTACTATAGTAGTAGCATTCTTAATGGTGTTATTATTTCTTTTGTTGTTATTGTTGTTTTTACAGCTATTATGGTTCTCGTAGCTCTTTAATATATTCCAAGCATGGAACCATGAACAAGTCAACATGGAACCTGATTAATAGGTTTGCACGCGTCTGTCCCCACACAAGATTCTTTTGTTTCACACGCCGTCGGCTAAGTCCATCATTAATGCAATTTCTCGTGTTTCATTGGACAAGGTCGTTCAAGCCAGCCATCGAAGTTAAACACCAGAGTATGTATGAGGAAATTCGGTCAGTGTCAAACTGATTTGACATACATGATTCAGATGACGGCTTGAAATAACTATAAAGAACACTTAAGACGAGAAAGTGGTTCAATCACAGGAGCAAGGTCCATATGACCTAATTTGCACCATTTTAAAATATAAAAAGTATACCATGAAACGCTGAATAAATTGAATAAATGCTCAAGGTAGAATATAAAGAACAATTAGGAAGATACTGGAAAACTGTCTTTGAATATCCCATTAAAAGCAAAATCTTTTTTTTTTCAACACTGACAAGCTGTAGTGGGTCACAGAAAATCACAGCAACATAAAAATTGGTGATTTGGTGATCGTTTTAATGGACATGCAGTTATGTCCTCTTCCCTGTCTAACAATATTCAAAAAGAAAACCAAAATGGATACACAATGTAAATTTTATACGCCATTTACAAACACCAGATATAATACGTATGCAAAGTACATGCATACATTGTTGTTGGTATCCGCCCGTCTTCGAGAGATGATGGTGTAGCTCCAAACATTCATTCATGCATGCATGCATACATACATACATACATACATACATACATACATACATACATACATACATACATACATACATACATACATACATGCATGCATGCATGCGTGCGTGCGTGCGTGCGTGCGTGCGTGCGTGCGTGCGTGCGTGCGTGCGTACGTACGTACGTACGTACGTACGTACATACATACATACATACATACATACATACATACATACATACATACATACATACATACATACATACATACATACATACATATATACATGCGTACGTACGTACGTACATACATACATACATACATACATACATACATACATACATACATACATACATACATACATACATACATACATACATACATACATACATACATACATACATGTGCATGCATGCATACATACAAATATACATGCGTACGTACGTACGTTACATACATACATACATACATACATACATACATACATACATACATACATACATACATACATACATACATACATACATACATACATGCATGCATGCATGCATGCATGCATGCATGCATGCATGCATGCATACATACATACATACATACATACATACATACATACATACATACATACATACATACATACATACATACATACATACATACATACATACATACATACATACATACATACATGTGCATGCATGCATACATACATATATACATGCGTACGTACGTACGTTACATACATACATACATACATACATACATACATACATACATACATACATACATACATACATACATACATACATACATACATACATACATACATACATACATACATACATACATGGGTATGCAATTTTGTCATGTGAGTGGATTTGACACAAGCGTGAAATTGTCTTTGCTTGATAATTTGCATCATATTTGGAGTCAGATTTAAATAAAGATTCAAGATGAATAAATTTGCATGATATGCATTTACCCCCAAAAAGCATGATAGTACGTAAATTATAGTAATTTTAAATCTAACTGAAACGTATGTAACCGCATCGTAAATTGCTAATACGTAAACGCAGATGCGCAATTATAAACACCGTGCGAAAAATGAGTGCATGAGAAGAATTTGTATTGACTAATATCTGGTTCAGTCAAAATATATCTTGTTGCGTTTTTTTTTTTTTCTAGCTAGGAAGATGAGATGATCTAGTCACTTTACAACCGATCTATTAATGTAACCTAGAAATCAATATTTATTGTCGTCTGCTTCGTTTTCGATGATGATTATGGAAGAGATCTAGCGTCAGCTGTATTGCTCTAGTCATGTTTGCCAGGTCACATCTGTGCAAGCAAGCTAAGAATTCAGGAACACTTTAATAAAAGTTCAAGGACGCAATAAATTTTGTGAACAAAAATTTTTCATCGAGTCCATATCACATTATTTTGAGATATCATATATCTCGAGCGAAATTGCTAGTCAACAGTGATTCAGCACTTATATAACAATGCCTTGTGTGTTTCTATTCAGTGTAAAATATTAATGTCTTCTAAAATGCTTTGATGCTAGTATCATGTGTTGATGCGTACGATTTTGTAATGTGCGCCTTAACTACGTATATGTGGGTCGCGAAGGCTATTTAGGTTTGCTTTGTATTTATGTAATAGACCTTGTGTAGTCTATGAAAATACAGAATCTTGGAACATCATGTGAATATTTATATAGGAAATTATTATTATTATTATTATTATTATTATTATTATTATTATTATTATTATTATTATTATTATTATTATTATTATTATCTCATTCTAAAGATATCTGGAAACTCATGTTACTGATTTTGTTACAAAGATCACTACATCCTTTAAGCTACTCTACTCACCCACCGCATTATGCCTATTAAGAGTTCTTCCCTCTGTCTCTCTCCAGATCGCATAAACGTTTTCCAACATTTGTAGGGTTTTCTTTATTTATTCACTTACTTTTTGTTGGTTGTTTGTGAAGAATAAATTTGCGAATGTGTTTTTGTCTGTTTCTGGTTCCAGATTCATTGTTAAACTGCATTATTTACACAAAGTATTTTTAATAGCACAAAATGTCATTTCTTACAACAGAGCACTTTTAGTCACAAATCTTGGACTTTTTAATCCATGTGTGCCATCTTCCTCTCTCATATGTACCAAATTCTTAGCTATAATTGTAGTAATGCGTTCCATGGGCTACATGCTCAGGGATGAAATGCTTCGTATTTCGAACATTTCTCTCTCATGCGGAATTTTTAGCAAAAGTTAATGACTCAGCAATTTAGTAGCAGTTTATTTGAAACTGCACCTAATGAAACAAGAAGAAAAAGAATAGAGATCTTTTAAACTAAAGATTTAAATACTTAGTGCAACTTTATTTCGATCTACGGATGTAGTAGGTCTTGCTTATGATTCTTTGCCAATTAGGCACAGTGGACATTTTTTAATTTCAAATTTACTTTCTAACTTTCTACTTTCATTAATTCTTTTTTATGTGAATCAGTGTACGAGTCACACACATACACACAGACATACATATACATATACACATACACATACACACACACACACACACATATATATATATATATATATATATATATATATATATATATATATATATATATATATATATATATATATATATATATATATATATATATATATATATATATATATATATATATTGTAGCCAGTAATTAAAGACCATCTGCATAAAAGGCAATAGAAAGAATAAGCACATCGAAGCTTCAACATAATTTTCATTTCAATACTACTCTTTCCATCAGAAAGTATATTTTGCAGGTCATTTAGAACATCAGTAGTGCATTCTATCCAACACCTATTGGACACTGAACGATATTACTTAATCCACTTGAGGTTCTTCGTACAACAACTGCAGCATCTTTGTATTCTCAGTTACAACCAAGTCCTTCTCGAAGTCTATAAATGAACAATAAACAATACCCATTTTCGTCCGTAAATATTTTGAAATAAGTGCATTCAGAACATAGATGCTATATACAGTCCTGTCACCTCTTCTAAATTCCCATTGTTCTTAACATTGTATGTAGTTTTCATCCGCCCATTGTGTGAGTCTTTTATTCAGAATATTAATAAAATTTTTAATCATAATTTTGTAACCGAAATATTTCTTTGTAATTATTCGAGTCAATTTGGTGATATTTTTAATAAATCGAACAAATCTAGTTATATGAAAGTCTTTTGGAAAGCATGAGACATTAGATTAAATAAATATTTTTTTAAAAAAAATTCTCTGTAATTATTCGGGTTAATTTGGTGATATTCTTAATAAATCGAACAAATCTAGTTATATGCAAGTCTTTTGGAAAGCAAGAGACATTAGGTTAAATAAATATATGAGTAATGGTTTAATGTAATTTTTAAAGGCTTTTAAAAATTCACATCACAACTTTTACCATCACAACCTGGAGATATCCCTGATTTCATGTCAACGTTTGATTTCCTTACCTCATCTTCATTAATGCATACTTTAAGATCATCCATCATTGTATTTATTTGAGGAATACAATGAGTAAGATCTAGGAGGATTCACTGCACCTTAAAAAAATGTTCAAACCACTTTAACTTTAAAATCTGTTTATGGCCATGCCATGGTCTCGATCTAAGTAAATTTTAAAATGCAAAGGTATCTCTCTTTTTAAGAGAAAGGACTAGCCTATTTTAATGTAGAATCATATTGACCTCTGTTTTCTTGAACTTCCTGTAACAAAATTAAGACAGTGATGAGTTTGGAAGTTTTGGGCAGATATTATGACAATGAAGCTTCTTAAGGCATTCATTGTCATTCTTATAACATTTCGCATTTATTTTCAAACTGAGAGAGAGAGAGAGAGAGAGAGAGAGAGAGAGAGAGAGAGAGAGAGAGAGAGAGAGAGAGATGGATCTTTAACGTAGCTTTAACAATTTTGCAGTCATATCGCTACGATTTCTGCAGTGTAGTAGTTTATAGTGATGTCTAGCACTGGGGCATATCATGCCGCAGACATGTAGCATGATGTCCCACCCAGTCACATTATCCAGTACGATCAGTCCTAACACTAGCCTTTTAATGCTGAGCGCCAAGCCAGGCACCTGCAAGTACAATTTTTTATACGTCTTTGGAATGACTCGTCCGAGGTTCGAACCCACGACGTCACGCATACGAGGTGGATGCTCTAACCACTAGGCCATCAAATTACTCATGTTTTGGTACTGATACAAACCCTTGAAAGGGGGCCAGTTAATCACTCTTACCGACATAAGCCTTTGAAAAGTGGACTTCTTGTTCACTACTTTCATACGAGATATCTATGCAGCTGACTAAAAAAACTATAATAAAGAATCAATTAATCTATCAAAGTTCCTATTATGTATCATTTCTAAGTATTGATCATAAGAGAAAAATAAAAATAGGTAATGTAAGCACGAAAAAACTGGGTTTTATACTCTCGTAACCAGGTAAATTTGTATTGTCTGAAATCTCCTCCTAACAAGAAGTGAACACCTGGAACAAAATATTTAAAACTTTCAACTTCATTTTCAACTGTAGACAGTGCCGGATTAAGGCCTTATAGGGCCCTAAAGCACTGAAAATATTATGGTGCCCCACCACCTTCCTACGGACTGTGAAACTAAAACAAAAACAATATTAAAAGCTAAAGAGGTGGGAAAATACCAGTGTTACCACCCTATAAGAGGGTTGCATTTTATTATCATTACTGCAGCTACAAATCAAAATACTCGTAAAAGCAGATCGAAATGGTCATTCATATATATATATATATATATATATATATATATATATATATATATATATATATATATATATATATATATATATATATATATATATATATATATATATATATATATATATATATATATATATATATATTCATTCAATTTTATCATCAACAATTAATTTGATTTTTTTCTTGATGGGCTGGTGCCCTAAGCCCTAAGGACGTGCATAGTGTGCTTAATGGGTAACCCGGCACTGTAACGATAAGGTTACACAAACAACGATGTTTCTCAAATACAATTTCTCGGAACAAGTTGATCACAAAGCTCAAGACTTTATGATCTTCAGGTTTGAATATGTCTGAAATCTTCATTTTTTCTTTTTTGTAGCTGCAGTAATGATAATAAAATGTAACCCTCTTATAGGGTGGTTAATACAGGTTTCATAACTTTATTCGGACGCAACTGCTACACTAACTACAAAATTTAGCTCAAATTGCATCCTATTATCCCTAAAATAATCATTGGAATCGTCCTGAGTTTTTTCAGGATATTTGTTAACAAGTGAAGAATGTTACATGCATTAAATAGAAAATATAAATATTTAAATATTCAAGTCTAAACTCAAAGCTAAATATATACTTGGTTTAACCTCTTGGTTTTGTGTAAGATAATAAGCGAAGAGACGTGATTCAGCAAGTTCCAGAAAGGTCATTTGCACTAAAATTTCCTGTTATATCGGTTAGATGTAAATATTTTTAGAACATGCAACCTAACTCGTTCTGCTTATTAATATGATGCGTCTAGGTTAGTGGCTAACATTAATAAGATAGTCATGGAGCATCTGAATTTATAACTGAAATGTTAACTTAATTAGTAGTGCAATACTTGAATTTTTACAAGGAATCGGTTCCTGCTGTCTTCGCTAACTGTTTATAACCTTCCAAGACGTTTATTTCGTTGTAGGAAGTTGCACAGACATTAAAACATCTGTGCAGAGAAAGAAAAGACAAAGAATATAGGCGGAAGGAAAACAACGAACTGATCGAATATTATCTTCGCTAGCCAAAAATCCAATAGCCAAGAATCCGATATGTTAACTCTATCAACACACTGGCAAATCGAGCAGATATTTTAGTGCTTTGTCATAGCGACATCTATGAGTTGCCTCCTTTAGTATGTAAAATCGACACTTCAATAGTGAATAAAAGCGGTGTATTGTGGAGGCAATTGACCTCAAAGGGACACTTTGTAAGTTTAACATCGACCATGACTGCGACCATGACTGCGTACCAGGAAGAACCCATTACGATTGTATTTAAATGAAAGATATTTATATAAACACAAACAGGAAGTGGAAAATTGCTTTTTTATGAGTCCATTCTAGTTGTCTGTTCCACTTGTCTCTATCATGAAACGATCAAATTTGAAAAAGAAAAATTTGATTGAATGCAGTTGCTTGCCGCCGCACCCAATGAAATTCACAAGACCCGAAACACAGAAACATCTAAATATCTACTCGATCTGCTAAGGTTAATGATAGGTATAACATACCAGAACCTTCGGTAGCAAATATGTCGAACTATGTGAAATGCCTTTTGTTTATTTATCAATTGCGTTAATATACTTTTATCAGGAAAAGTTTGAACCATAAATTTGATCAAAGATATTAGGAAAAGAAAGAAGAAAGAGTCGAGATGTATGACACGCCCATATGTCATCGTCGCACGCTCTCTATTCATCATGGCTACTGGCAATAAGAATTTGTTGTTTCTCGTGAATACACATAAATTTGGCAAATTGATTCTTACGATCAAGAGTACATGTTTTTCTGAAAGTTAACCCAAACTGACCTTTCACATCCTCTGAGCAAGAACATCAGTTTCTTTTCTAAACACAGTAACTTATTGATCGATAAACGTCACTTCCGTTGATATTTAAGGGCATATTTCATTGGATGGTTGATAACCAATATTTTTGTTTATGCTTATTCAGACGAAAGGAGAGCATCTTATCGCAAGCAGCGAATGGATGATAGGGTAACGGATTTTCGTCAATGGCTGCGACGATGCCATAGGGTCGATTGATCTGATTATCAGATCTTGAAAGTGAAAAAGCACAAACTACCGTTTATACTCGCTTATAGGTCAAGTCTAACTGCATAATACGCCGACAAACTGGGCTTGTGCAGATTATTAGGAATAATCAATAGAACAAACATAGACCCTGATCTGCAGGCGCATTATGCCACGGCAGATTAGAATATTTGCTGGTTCAAGTCTTACTGGACTTACAAGTGGATATATATATAGGTATATTAATTGGATATCTTGTTGAAGGCAGTATTGAATATAATGAGACTAACTCGCAAATAATATTACATAGCCAGGGAATTCCTAGATGCATTTTCGTTAGCATGCAAATTGTAATTCATAATACCTAGCCAGGGAATACCTAAAAGCATTTTCATAATCATGCAAATTGAACATCAAACATATGTTTGAAATACAAGATAAACTTTTAAGATTCTCTAGGCATTCATCATAAGCCACAATATCCAAATTACATTTTATGAAAATGAAATTGGTAGTATATTTCAGTAAATGATAGCAAATAATTATATTTGATAGGTATGCTACCGTATATATTCGCTTATAAGTTCAGTCAAACTGCAAACAACGAAGAGCCAGATGCTCCTGCAGATCATGGTCTTTGTTGTTTGTTCTACTGTACACTCCTAAAAAAACTGCATATATCCAGATCTGTCGACGCATTATGCGACAACAGATCAGGATCTGTGCATTTTGGAGTTGGTCTCGTCTTATAAGCGAATACACACCGTTTTTATTAACACATTTGCAAGTGCTTCCGAATGAAGGGTATGTGTCAGTTTTGACGAAGGGGTGTGGGTGTCTCATTTGGTTTTAGATTATGATTTTTGTGCACTAATACGTTATGGTTGGAGATGATTGTACAAATCAGGGTATTAGATATTTGTTGCTGCTTTCGAGCTGGAGTAGATTGTTTAGATAGTGTGATTTGCATTTACGTCCCTAACACCTCGGCCGTAGGCATTTTGGTAAGCAGATTCTCTAGAAAGTGATACACCTTTTAGTTCTACTACTGGACACATTGTAATCAATTATGTCCTCGGGAAATGGTATCATTCTTCTTTTATCTACTAACATTCCATTCACTTGATTGATAAGTCGTGATTTCATTTATCAGTTTAGGTGATCAATGTATATGATTTGTTCAATCGTTATGGCAAAGATAGCACTACGGGAGTATTCATTAAATTTTCCGCCTCCTCGTGCTTGTGTAAAACGTTAGAATGGTATGCTGTAATAATTCAGTGGAAAATCAAGAATTGCTGATCATATTTGTATATCTTGTCACCTCTTTAAAGTGAGTTTATGGTCCATTAGCAAGCAATAGCTGTATGGGGAAACATCTGTTATATGATGTCAGCGGTATAATAACCGTTGGGCTAACTTAAAATCAGACTTATTTCGTCGCTTGTATGTGATGAAGACTACAAGGACTACGACGAAAATGATGATTTTTGATAATAATAATAATAATAATAATAATAATAATAATAATAATAATAATAATAATAATAATAATAATAATAATAATAATCAACACCAATGCTCGAATAATATATGATGATATTAATAATAATAATACCAATCAACAACAATGCTCGAATAATATACTGTTTTAGTTAATGCAAACTCTTGTTAATGTCTGCACCGCAGGCTGTTAATTTATCCTGGAGGAAGGAGTAAGGGCCTAATCCCCTAGGCGTTAATAGACCATTTCGGCGAACTTCGTAATTTGCTCGGAATTTCTATCACGTGGCGGGTGGTCTACTGACCGCAATATCCAACCGATAGCTGGTAGGCAAATAGTCTGGTCCCCTGCTTAGTATGCTCCCTAGTATAGTATAGCGGAGTGCATCGCAGGGAGCACACTAAGCAGGGGACCAGACTAGTGGTCAAAACAAGGCGGACGCATCAGCATTAGCATCAACTGTTCCAACTACTTCAGCTTCGTTTATAGAGTTGAAAAATGCCTATTCAACAGCGATTATGCCACAGATATTGACGAAATTTAATATTGGAACCATCCTGTCTTAATGTTTGGATTTTATAGCCATACGAGAGAGTAGCTATGAGCTGTTTACATCTGGGCATGCACATGCGAGAATGGAAACGGTGTCGATGTTACAAATTTAATCTCATTTTTTTCCATAACACCGTATTTCATAAATCGAGTTTCGTTTACCAATAAAAGGAATTTTTCGTATTAATCCGCAGTATAACAAACCTGGAATATTTTTCGACGGTAAAGCTGCAGAAGTCCCAGGCATACGTCTAAACAACAATGTGTGCCATTTTGTTATGTACAGATGCCTACCAGCGTTTGATTGGCTGGAGTATAAAGTGACT